CACCATCAGATCCACTTCCATCAAATGCATGTTGAAAGAAATGTTGAAGAATACATCGTCCCCAATTTCTTGAACTGTAAGTTTCAAAATATGTTGGTACTCGTTTCAATTCTTTATGACTAAACATACGTCTTGTTGTACGAAGAACTGGAGAAAGAATCCATGGTACTTGTGAGTATTTATCAATAAAAAATAAACAATTTGGTACATCTCTATCTCCTAAATGAACTACACTTAATCCTCTCCACCCTTTTCCTTCACACATAGTATTTTGTGTTTGACTAAGAATTTGATGAATAGCAGAAGAAACGTTTGGGCATTGTTGCAGCCTTTGTAAACCTTGTCCAGTATTAACTAAACTATAACTTCTTCCACTTAAAAAGTCTTTGTCATTCATTATCCATAACAATGACATATGTCTCATAACATTCCACCAGAGTCTTAGACTTTGTTGAACAAATAAAAAGTGTTCAGAATGACTTTGTGTTAATCTTGATCCATCCTTTCCAAAATAAATTGCTAATGAAAGAGTCGTATTCTCTTGATCTCTAAATCGTTCTAATTGTTTTAACATACCAAAAACAACTCCACAAGTTTTTGCTGATGCTTCAATTCCATCTCTAATTGAGTATATAATACGAAGGCCATGTTCTCCATATTGTTTTTCAATTTCTTCTAATGTTAATCCTTCATCTCTAAGTTTAATACATTTCATAATACTATTTATATTCAAATTACATTCTTTCATTCCCATTTCAACAGTATAAATTGGTTTCCATTTTTTATTCTTTACAAATTCTTTACCAATAAATTTGGGATTATAATTTATAGCATCTTGTAAAATGTGCATCATTTTTTGATACGTTTCTCTCATCATAGATGGATTTGCTGTTTTATATCTTCTTCCAACTTCAAAGCAATCTTGCATAAATACTTCTTTTAATGTTTTATCTTTTAATATTTTTAATCCTTCTTTTAAATTATTGGTAATTAATAATCCAATTAATGTATTTTTAAATTCATTATGTTCTTTTATTATTAATTCTTCTTTTTTTATTTCATTAACACTAATATCTCTTTTTCCACAATAATATCCATAATATTCATAATCAGATTTAGCAATGTCAACATTATTTGTATATTCACTAACACCTAATGCCGCTTCTAATACATCTAAATATCCTCTTTCTTTTTCTGTTAATCTCATAGGAAAATCACGAATTAATTTGAGTATTTCTTCTTCATTTAATGTCTTTAAATAATCATAATATCGCTCTTTTAAATGATCTTTTGTTAGTTGTGTTGTTTCTTCAATAATTTGTACTTCTTTTTCGTATTTAATCGTACTGATTGTTTGCGCTTTTGGATAATGTAAACTTTCTCCTTTAACTTTTGTTATTGTTTGTTGGCTATGAAACTCATTTGTTTTAACATGACAAATCACTGGTGAACTTGGTTTTGAATGACTTCCAAATAAAAGAGAAAATAGTCCATGTGATTTATTTTCTTTCTTTTTTTTTATTAAATCCTCAAGTGATCCACTTTGTGGCTTTTTCTTTATTTTCTCCATTTTCAATTGAAATGATTTTTGAGTTCGGTGAGGTATCACGAAACGTTCTTAACTCTTGCCATCTTCAAACTTTAAATAATCATCTCTCTTTTTCTTTAAACAAGATAACTTTAATTTCCGTTTTATATAACATTTATTGAACCTCTTAACTTAAAAAGATAAAAAAGGTTAAAAAAAACAAAAAATATAATAAAGTATAATAAAATTAATTAGAATGAGATCTAAAAAAGTGAACTAACCCTTTGCAATCAGCATGTCAGCCGTAAAAGCCGCTGGTAAGACCCAAAAGAAACACACTGAGGCTCTTAAGAGCGTTCAAGTTTTCGGAAAGAAAAAGACTGCCATTGCTGTCTGTCTTTGCAAAGAAGGAAAAGGTATGATTAGAGTTAATGGTGTTCCACTTGATCTCATTAACCCACCAGTATTAAGAATTAAAGTTTTTGAACCATTATTCATTGTTGGTAAAGAAAACTATGCTAAATTAGACCTTAAAATCAGAGTTACTGGTGGTGGACAAGTTGCTCAAGCTTATGCCATTAGACAAGCCATTGCTAAGGCTCTTATTGCTTACAACCAAAAGTTTGTTGATGAAACTACAAAGAATGAACTTAAAGCTAAATTCCTTGAATATGATAGAACTCTCCTTGTTGCTGATCCAAGAAGATGTGAAGCTAAGAAATTCGGTGGACCAGGAGCTCGTGCTAAATACCAAAAATCATACAGATGAGCGATTTCAAATTGATAAGTTCTTAATTGTTATAGCTGGTTTTATTTCTTTAGTATAATAACTTTGTCAACAAATCATCTTTATTTAAGATATATTCTTCTTTTTTATCTTATAAAGTATAATAAAAATAAGTCAAAGGTTGTTCATTTTCAAATAAATAAGTAAATGATAAAAAAAAAGTTTAAAGGATAATTAAGTTTATTTCTTTCCACCTTTCTTTTGCTTTTTCTTACGTTGATATAATGGAAGCCAACGTTCGGGGTCAAGTGTTTTAGGATCTACTTTACCATGCTTTTTAATCATTTTTCTTTGTCTTCTTCTTTGTCTTTTTTCTTTACGTTTTTGTAATGCTTTAAGTTTACTATCATCCTCACCAAATTGGTTTTCATTTTTATCATCAACAATGGTATGATTAGTTAATGCAGAAGATCCCAATGCTTTATTGAAATAAGATTCAGCTTTAGTAATTTCTCCTTTTCTTAACATAATCAAAGCAGCATTTCCATAAGTCTCACTAATATAATCAGATGTTTTAGTACCAAGAAGAGATGAGTCAATTGATTGATCAGAAACAATACAAGCAGCTAAATTAGTTAAAATTCCAGTTTTAGGTTGTTTAGTAATTTCTAATACTTCAGTATAAATTTTTGCAGCCTCATTAAATTTTCCTTGTTTTTGAAGTATTTGTGCTTTTAACACTTTATCCTTTTCATCTGAACCAAGTAATGAAAATGCTTCATCATACTTTTCAATATTATATTTAGCTAATGCCAATTCAAAATTCATTCCATTTTGTTTCATTGTTTCTTCAAACTGAGTAACATCTTTTCCTAATTTAATTGATGAAATAATTAAAATTTTAAAGACATTAACGTCGTTTTGTTTTTGTGAATACACTACCATCTCAATTATTTCTTTTCTTAATAAATTATAAATCCTATAATAAAAATTCGTTATTAGATCACTAGTTATTTATATAAAACAAACATTCATTTGATATTTTATAAATTTCATTTAAATCCTCTTTTTTGTTTTGTTGAATGAGTTTCTTTAACTCCTCCATTACTTGTTTTTTACTTCTTTTTAAGTTCCATTTCATAAAGACATGAAATTTTCTATTAATTATAATTTATTTTTTAATAAAAATATTAAACTAAAAAATATCAAATTAAATGAAATTATGGGTTGTATGGATCATTCTTGTCTTCTGATGATTGTTCTTCATCACCTCCTTTAACACAAGACAAAACTACAACAACAATAGCATAAATGGAAACGAGCCAAATAATAATACTGGTGAAAAGACCAAAGAATCCAACATAAAAGAGAGTAATAATACCAGTAACGATTAACCATGCAATAGTAACTGGAGCATTCCAGAAATTAATATATTGTTTAGCAACTGGGATAAACATAGCCCATGGTGAAACAATCATATAAATACCATTAACCATTAGTAAGAGTGCAACAAATCCACAGATTACAGAGGCGTTTGATTTAACACCATGAATTGACCAATTAGACCAACCCCATTTACAAAGGTGGATTAAACCACAGAGTATTACTAAAAAGCCACAAAAGGCATAAAGCCCTCGAAGAATGAGAGTTAAATTAATTTTAATCATTGAATTATTATTTATAAGTTCTTTCTATTAGTTTTTTTATTTCTTTTTACTAAAAATTGAGAGTTTTCATTTGTCATTAATTTTCTTCTATCGTTCTTTTTCTATTTTAAAATTTTTTTTTAAAATAATAAATAACAAAAATACAAAAAAAAAGTGAAAGAAAACACTTTTGTTAATAATCTAACTTGAATATTCTCTTAAAACATTCATTCATATTTAATGTTAAAAATATTTCTGCAAGGACTTGAAGAAGATCTGGGATATGGTGCATAAATATTTTGTACAGTGCAAAGTCTAATGAAATACTTGTTATACGAAGAACTAACAATAAGATAAATTTTAAAACAAAGATGGTAAATATTATTACTGTCGATACAATGAACTAAATGATGAACATAAAAAATAAGGTTATAAAAATAATGAAAAACATAACAAACACAATACAAGAACAATAAATAAATCTTCCCCAGTAAACTTTCATGATTTACTTTCATTTTTCTATTATAACGAATAAACCATATTAACACAGCAATTAATACACAAATGACAACAAATGTTTCTACAGTAATAAATATTAATTTAATATACAAATAATAAAAAATTGTATTAAAACAAACGGAAAAGATTGAGAAAAGAAATGGCATTAGATATATTTGAATATACAATTGACTAAAAGATATTAGAACATTAACAATAAGGATATTTAATAATAACAAACAGTACAATCACCTGATAATATAGTAAATGAAATTGAAAGGGATATAGAAATAATGTCATATAATATCATTGCTAATAATATAAAATAAGGTGCTTTTAAACTGTTCCATGCTGTTTTAACTCCATAAGTTACATTTTTGAAATAACCATTTCCCCAAACACAATATGACATGAATAAAGATAAAATATGAACTATATCACAAAATCGTTGTAATAAATAAATAACACAACTTTGAGTAGTAGAGTAAGCATATAAACATAAACAACAAGTTTGACCTAAGTATAAATCTTTTGTACTACTTGAAAATAAAAACTTCTATAACAAACATACTAAAAAAATTATTTCAATCAAAACAAAAATACTAAATGTTTTAGTAAATGGTGGATGTATATAGTTCCAATACACTTCAAATACAATAACAACTAATAGAACTAAATACCAAATAACAGAAAAATAAGCTAGAGGAGGATTAGGAAGGTCTGTATTCATCCAAAGAATTCTAAGTTCTTTTACTTATTTTATTCAGGAAAAAAAAGGAAAAACAAAAATAATATTAGTCTAATAACACAAAATAATTTATTAATAGAAATTCCTTATTAATTTTCTATATAATTTTATTATATCATTTGGTTGAATTTAATACTATCATTTATTTATTTGTTTATGTCAAGTAAAATTACTTAAATACAGGAACTGCATTAAATCAAATTTTATGTCTTAGATATAGACTATTATGTATTTTGTATTTTGATTATTTGCCATTTTATTATTTAAATTTAGTATAACATTTGTGATGTGTTAGTACCTATTATTTATGTAATATATCATCTTGTTATATTTGTTATTATTTACTGTAAATATTATTTACTTCATTTATTACAAGTTCAAATATATTTATATCATGTTTTCTTTCATTTAATTGTATTATGTTCGTTAAATCACTGAAATTAATATTCATGCCAAATGCTTTCTTTATTCTTTTAATTATTCAATTTGGATCTGTTTTATTATTTTTATTAACTCTTATTCCTGTACTTGATATATATATATATATAATATTTTAAATATATTCTTATTATTTCATTACAAAATTCGTCTCATGCTGACACTGATCACATTCCAATTCATTTATTGTGACATATAATCTGTTTTTATTGATGTTTCTATTGTATAATTAGAATTCGATTAATAATTTTCTTATTTGTTTATCTATATTCTCCAAATCATCAACTTTGTATTTAACAGTACAGAATCCATATCTTAATTTGGAGATTATATCATTATTAATTTTTCTTATTGTATTGAGGCTGGTATATTTCATAATATTTAATGATGATAAAATAGAACTTACATCATTTAATAATCTTGTACAATATTTATTAGTATTTACTTTACATCTTATTTCAATACCAAGATTATAAGGATCATCATTAGTTACTCTTGGTAATTCAACTATTTCTTTATTTATTTGACCATTGATATTATTCATTAATTCATTCTTTTCTACATTTATTTTTATCATATTCCATTAAATATTTCTTTTTTTTTAATTTGTGGGCTTTTTCTATTTCATTAAGGCTGTTAATTATTATCTTTAAATCATCTCATATATAATATATAATTAATTATACG